ACGATATTGGCCAACCAATCCGCATAACGGAAAGGTTGGATGAAACCCACTTTAAGAAGCTTCTGAATCTCTTCTTTGATCTGAGGCATCAAGTCAGGACTCATACGTCTTGGAGATTGCTTACAAGGTTTGAAATCCTTTTTAATGCAATAAATGTTCTATCAGAATTTGCTCTAAACCGGGCATTTCTGAATAATCCCATGCTAAACAATCAATATTGTTTCTTATAACCTCGAGCATCAATTTTTGTTGCTCTTCAGACAAATAACCACTCATCCTGATTATTTTTGGAACCAGGTCGGTTCCTAAGTTGAAATCCAGTAAAGGATCTTGTGCTGAGAAAGTTGGCTCTGTTTTCTCTAATAGATCAGGCCAACGAAATTGTTCATCTTCTTGGAAATGAACATCATCTATCTTTTTGATTTTTTCTACTTTTTTCAAAAGCTGGTCTAAATAATACTGATTAATAAGTAAACTACAATCTTGTAAATCTGCAACCTCCATAAAAATATAAAAAGTAGGTCTGGCTTACTCAAGAGCCATATAGTACAACTGTTCTTTTAAAAGAACATTGAATTCTGGCTAATGAATTTAAAACCCTTCTTTGGGTACTCATTAGCCATAAAAAACTAATACATTGGAGGTACATGACCAGAATAAAAAACTGATTCTTCAACTTGTTCTGATGCTCCAAAAGGATTGTCATTTGCTTCCATTTTGAAGACCTGATTGCCTTCCCAGAACATTAATAATTGATGCAGAGTTGATGGCACACATTTAAATGTATGAATCCAATCTCGTCCAAGCAGGATTGAATATGTGGTATCTGCATCCACCACGAAGAAAACAGAACCGACTTCAATTGAGGCGACCATCATGCCTTCTGGTCTGGTCGGCTGCCTTGTAAAACTAGTCATCTCAAAATCCACAAGAGATAGATCGTGAATTCCTTTTCCTAACTTCTTGAGAGTCTTTAATGGCATTACATTGAAGACGGCCCCATTATCTATAAAAACCTTTGTGATTGGTTTCCCACAAATATGAGCATTAACGTACAGAGGCTTCAAATGAGACGCCATGCCTTCTGGAATGGGAGGGAAGACTATTGGAGGGACCTCTGATTGAAAATCAAGATCCGAAATCTTTGCCCATTCTCGCTCCTCTATAAACTCATCCACCAGACTTGCCCACAAAGGCTCTTCCTCAACCCAATTAATTTCTGTCATTCGGCAGGGGATACGTGGCCCTAGTCGAGATTTAACAGACCTTGACACGGTTTCTGGAATTTCATCATTGGTTTCACTTTCAGGTTGAATCGTCAGAGATTCCAAACGAAATTCCTCAAGTGGTGGGTTAATGTTAACCTTCTCACAATACTGACATCTGAAACCCTCAACTCTTTCATCAGACAAGCCTTTACCCTTTCTTTGCATAGACCGACCTCCCTCATTGTATTTAGGAGTGTCTCGTATGCTGGTCCGCTGCTTTGACGAGGTGACCTCAATGGGCCGACCTTCTTCTGCCTCATTCGGCTGCTCAAACGAAACGAACCTGATGGACCGACCTCTTTTAATATACTTGGCAGCGCCTCGGCTGTCGTTCGGTTGCTTTGATGAGGCGCCCCGTATGTACCGACCTCCTTCTGAAGAGTTGTTAGTGCCTTGCATACTTGGTTGCCTCGAGGAAGCGATTTTGTCTCTGTATCTCGCAGCGTACCTGCGCTTGGCATTCCGAATCTGAGTACGATTTATGCCTGGGAAGCGAGGATCCACATCAATTGGTAAAGGTTTCTTATTTCGAGTCTATTTGCTTCCGACCGAACCCGTTCTCCTAGTCGGGTGGTCCCGAACCAAGACTTGCTCCTTCAATTCCACATTAAAAGAACCATCTTGGTTATCCCATTTTCAGCCACTGTTCTTTCACAGACCTTGAGTTTCTCCTCTGGTCAGCCAGTGTTTAATGAATTCCCTTTTTCTGATCTGGAACTTGCTCGTATATTAACCATTGCTGTGGTTACTTTTAGAAATGGTTGTTGCTCAACTCCCAAAGCAATATATTTGAGCCGACCTGCCTTAATAGCCTTTTGGATCTCATTTCGAAAATGAGTGCATTGACTTGTATTATGTGTGAAGGAGTTATGCCACTTACAATACGGCCTCCCTTTGATTTCTTCCTTAGTAGCCAACCTCTGCCCCTTTGGAATTCGGATCTGACCATCAGTTAGTAGAATATCAAATATCTCATCGGCCTTTGAATTGTCAAAGATCGGTTGCCCTTTAGCTTCTGTTCCTGGTGCTGGCTTTAACTTAGAGCATACATAAGGCTTCCCTAAAATTATTTCGGCCGCCATCTCTTCTGTTTGATCATAATCAAAGTCGTATGCCTTTGTTTTCACACTAGCCATATGTTGACCTTTATTACGCCTGAAATTCTGATCCCTTTCCCTGAAAAGAGATTCTAAACGTCCAGCCTTGGATGCAAGACTTGCCAAATCCTCGACATCATGTGCAGTGAGCGCATCTCTTAGGCGACCATGCATATTTCGGACCACTAAGTTGGTCATCTATTTTTCATTGATTATTGTAGGACATCGTCCTTTCATCAATCGCACCCTTTCAATAAACTGTGAAGCTGACTCTTCTGGATATTGTTTCATTTCCAATAAATCAGTCAAAGAAACCGTTGGCAAGGGATTGAAAAATCTGGCATGAAATGCCATCTCTAAACCTTCCCAAGTTTGTATTTGCCCAGGTGGCAGACTTACAAACCACGAAAAAGCTGTCCTAGTTAGAGACAATCCAAACAGTTGTAACTTGTAAAAAGGATTGTTACCCATTTCCCCTAACTGTGCTGTGAAACGCCCCACATGCTCTATAGTAGAGGATCCATCCTCTTCAGAAAAAGCATGAAAATCTGGTGGCCTGTAATTCCTTGGGAGAGGATATTCATTAATAATCCTTTCTGGAAAAGGTCTTTGATAAACAGGTCGGTTTGCCATCTGAGGATTTAGACCAAACTGAACCCTCAATACGTGAGCAATTTCATCGCCCAAACGAAAATGTTGATGATCAGGAATATCAATGGGATTTTGCACAGGAACAAGAATAGGATGCTTCACATGTCCCCCTGGTCTTTCCTCCCTTGTAATGTTCGGCTGCAGATTCTCAACCCTTGGCCCCAAAGGAATATTATTTGGAAAAGTCAGAGGAGTCTTTCCCCTATCTGTTCGGTTGAACGTTGTGGCGATTGGAAGTGTGCTGTCCACATATGATGGCCCTGCAAAATTTGTTTGCATTCTTGATGGTGACACCCCTGGCGGCGTCTGGGTGGGTTGAAGAGCAACCCTTGATAATGCTTGATCTAACATGTTCTGCATAAGATTTTGTTGCTCGCGCAACATGTTCTGCATAACCGAAGTTTGCTGATTGTTCATTTGTTGAACATAAGACAACGAATCGGTAGGTGGTTGGGGAATCTCCCCTGAATTTGGCATGACAGGTGGTGAAATATTTTCTTCCACCGGTGTTGATGATGATTGAGGTTGTGAGCCTGCCATATTGATCTTTCTGATGATTCGGCCAGACCGCAGTCGTATGAAATTCTCTGATAATGCAGGATTAGCAATCTTGCCTTTCTCCCACTGTGGTCGCCAATTTGTTTATGTATTTTTTCAACAAACAAAAAGTAAAATCCGAAAATAGGAAATTATTTTCGAACTTGATATATTTAGCATCTGAGATTAAAAATCTCTAAACACTGTACGGTACAGAAAATTAACTGGAAATTAAAATGCTGAAAATTTAAATGATGATCCCCGAATCAGTGACTTTGTCGTTGTTTGAAGTTGATTGAAGATGAATCGCCAGTTGCAAATTTTAATCCTTAAATACTCTTCAGAAACAGTACTGGAAACCGTCGCCCGAACGGTTACAATGCCTCTTTTTTCAACCGTCTGCTAACGCTTCTCTTGCTGACACGTGCCCTCAACCGACCGAAGTATCATTCTCGCTCACTCTCAACAGTATCCGACTCTCTGGACCGACCGCAGACCTTCCGCCCTTTTGGCCCGAACGCAACTCTTCCGCCCTGTTGGTCTGACCGTAAATCTTCCGCCTTGTTGGTTCGACTGCAAACCTCCCGACTTGCAGACCACCCGACTTGTATGGTCCAGCCGCTAACCTCCCGACTTACAGACCATCCGACTTGTTGGTCCAGCCACAAACCTCCCGACTGATAGACCATCCGACTTGTTTGGTCCAGCCGCAAACCTCCCGACTTACAGACCATCCGACTTGTTGGTCCAACCGTAAACCTCCCGACTGATAGACCATCCGACTTGTTTGGTCCAGCCGCAAACCTCCCGACTTACAGACCATCCGACTTGTTGGTCCAGCCGCAAACCTCCCGACTGATAGACCATCCGACTTGTTTGGTCCAACCGCAAACCTTCCGACTTATAGACCAACCGACCCGCGGACTTTCCGACCTGCGGACTTTCTGACCTGCGGACCTTCCAAGCTACGGACCTTTCGACCTGCGGACCTCCCGACCTGCGGACTTTTCGAGCTGCGGACCTTCCGACCTGCGAACCTTCCGACCTGCGGATCTTCCGACCTGCGGACCTTCCAAGCTACGGACCTTCCGACCCGCTATTTCCTTAGAAATACATCTACTTTACCTGAGTTCCCCGCAATGCCCCTCGACCAGCTCGATCATCTCAATTGTTAGGCCCATTTTTCTTTTTCCCTTGGGCTTTTTAACCTAATTCTAAATTTCATGCGTAACACAATTACTCGCATTTTCTTCTTCTTCGTTAGTTTTTTAACGTCTTGACACTGCGTTTTGATACGAATTTAAGATTTAACCACTCTAAATCTTTAAGAAATAAGCTTTGGTATCTTTAAGAAATAAGCCTTGGTTATCATACTCACGGTAACAAATATATACATAGTAACACAATAGGTGGAAATTACCAAAAAAAAAATAAAAATAAGAAAAAATAATTGAATTGTGCATCAGTAAAAGCCTTACAACACAACGATGTAAGAACATAGTCCATTGCATCCTTTTTCCAGTCAGAATCAATCTATCATCCCAGCAAATCAACCAAAAACATAATATGAACCCTCACCTCAAATCAAACAATAATTGAATTCCATTTGAACTGCAAAAAAGAAAACCCAACCACAACCACAGAGAAGAAAAACACAAAACATACATAAACAGAGAGAGACACAGAGAGGATCACAAAGAATTCCCACATGAAGACTCAGCCACCTGAATATCGTCCTCAATCTCCACCGTCTTCCCCCTCTCCGCCAATCCTCTATCCAGCCTCTTCAGCCACACGTCGTAGTCGACCGCATACGGCGTCCCGATTATGCTGTCCACATAGTCCGCCAACGCCTTCAGCAGCGGCGAGACTTCCCCGAGACGCTGCTGGACGATGCGCTTCGCCCAGCACCTCTCCCGCCATTTCAGTGCTGACTCGATTGAATCTTGCTGCGGCATCGATCCGCCGCACATGAAGTATACGAGGTACATGAGGCTCTCGATGTCCGACGACGGGCCAAGCTTCCCATGCTGCAGCGCATGGGACGACGAGAATTGCAAGTTCAGCGCCGGGCTGTCACGGTCCTCCAGCACCGCCCGCCCCCACGACAGGAGAACGTACACGCTAATATCCCCTCTCGAGCCCCGTTCGTCGATAAGGCGGACGACGTTTTCAGGCCTGATATCACCGTGGAGGACATTTGCCATCCTCGCACTTCTCAGCGCCGCAAGACAGTCTCGACAGCATCGAGTAGCTTCCTCGGGGGAGAACGGGCCGTCGTGGGCGATGAGAGACAAAAGAGGCTCCCCGACTGGACAGGTGACGAGAATGGGTGTTCCGCACCACGGATGATCGCATCGACCCTTGGGGCTTTGCTTCTGGCAAGCGCCCGAGTGCATGATCCTACCCGACGCTATTATCTCCGGTAGGTGCTTGCTCGAAACGCCGTGCTCCTTTAATACGTTCAGTACTTTGGTTTGTCGTTGCACTTGGTACCATAGATTCATGTCTTCCCACGACGGCTCCAACTGGGATGGATGGGCACCGACCAACAGAGTAAGCAACCGAGAGTGGCACTCGGTGGAGACTGCCGTGTACGAGCAATCGCTTCCGTCGTATACAAACTCCTGTATTTGGAAACTTTTGAGACACCCCTCTTTCAGATCTTCGAGCACCAAAACCTCGCCGCGAGTAAGATTTAGCCGTGGCCCTTTCCCTTTCCCTTTTTTCGTTAAGTCGTCGCATTTCTCTAAGCTGTGTTCGACTATTTCCCTGCTGTAGTTTCCGTCGTGTTGATAACCAACCGGAGATGGAAAGCTTCCATTCTTGACAGGACGAGTCTCCATGCGACGTTTTTGGAGGCGGAGGCTATGGTTTGCCGCAGCTGAAGATAACGATTTCCGTGGTGGCCCGTTCCATTGGGCGACCGAGTAGAAGATAGCCAGAAGTATTTGCACCGAGCCTAAGTCACCCCAGTTTACGTTCCCGAGTTTGTTCCATATTTGCTCCACAGGAGAAACAGCGATATCGGCGTGACATGTTATCCACTCGGCCATCGATTTGTACACATTATTTGAATCGACCTCAAGCTTACCGAGGTCGCCACCGAGCTTCACAACGCCTCCAAATCGAGAATCCATAATAGAGACCAAGACAAAGTCAGACGTAACTGCGTTGTACTTGCTCAAGCTCCGGGAAAACAATATATGAACACCATAGAACAGCGCTTCACAGAGAACCGACGGGGAAAGCCTGAATTCTCGGAAAAGATTCTGCTTGAACAACATGAAATGGACGACATCGTCCCAACGAGCATGTAGATTATCCTTACTCTTCGACATCAATGCAACCCCGCTTAGCCCCCCAAGCCTCCCCCTCGAAACTGCTTTCTCAACCGTGTAGAACTTGGATCGAGGATATCGAGGACATGCCACAAAGTACGGAAACGGTTTGTTCTTATGCCAAAATGTGTGCCACAGTCCTTCAGCAGCTGTGTATAGAAAATCTTCGAATGCCAGAAACTCGTCTTCCTTGAGGTTTCCGGAGGAGTACGGCGTGTAAGGCATTCGCAGCAGCTGCTGAAAGAAGACTCCCTCCAATGCTAAATCAAACATCGACAATTCATCAGTTAAGAAAGGAGAACCATAGCAGTGATCGCCGTCACCAGCTTTGCTGCACAAGGTCTCCTTCACCCAATCCTCGAGATAGTCCTGAAATATATTGAAGTCCACGAGTTTTGAAGAATACTCCTTGAGGACTTTATACACCCTTTTTGATGTTGGTATGAATTTGCTTGAAGTGGTGGATGGAGTCCGGGCAGAAGCTGCTGTTTCATCATGTATTGTATTAATTGAAGTCATTTGGCAACACTAACAGAAATTTGATGATCTAGATCTAAACAAAATAGTCACATTTTATAAAGTACAACTACAACAAACAGATTAAATTGCATTTTAATGGACTTGATATGAAATTCAGCAAGTAAAATTTCGTTCGATGCCTGTTAAAATGGAGACACTACTACTAGTTCAGAACATTTACTTAACCACCGTCAAACAAGAATGGATCTTCAGGCAACATAAGCAAATAAAATAGTTCAATGTTGCAAGAACTGGTGTAATCGAGTAGTGTACTTCAATCTAAACACCGAGCTTGGAACTTTTTCTATAATCGATAAAGAAAATGCATCAGAAAGAGTTATGTTGAACATACCAGATCCTGGAATCCTTAAACTTCCATCAAAACTTGGCCCCGGAGATGACTCGGAATCACTTTTATGATTTCCTGTTCATTGGATTCGAATCCCAGACAATAACCATGTAAGAGAAAAAATCCAAGTAAAACTTGTCTCCGGAAATAACAACAAGAGAGCCAAGATCAAAACCAAAAGAACATAAACTTCAAGTAAGCATTTGAACTGTCAATATGAAAAACTTCATTCACATAACTGATTTGGCTCAAAATATTCTTTTTATTGACTGACAATCAATATCCTGAATTCTATCATATAGAAGAACACCACAAATGAGTATGACTATTCATTCGGCATACAATTTTATCAAATACAAAGATCTGAGGGCATGGCATTGATAACAGAGAGATACAATGGAGCTAAAGTCCAGAGAGAGTAGTAAAATTTGCAGCAATTCTTGCACAATTTTCTTAAGCCCCAAACTCTATTAGACAGTACATATCAGCTGCATTTTAGATCTGCATTGCATTTTATGATATGAAATCCTTTGATTAATTGATTTATACACATATAGCTTCTTCCATATTTGCTGATTTGCATCTACAGTTGCTAACCCCAAAGAAACCACAGCACCCAACAAAGTACAAACCATCCAAATCTAGAATTTCTTTCTGCATTTATATATATACAAATCAGAATAAGAAATGCATCAATAGTCAAATCCTAGGAATAATATGATTTTGAAAATGTCAGATCTTACCTGACTTGCTCATAAACTATACCAATTTATGTACAGAATGAATATGCATTATCATGAGTATGTTAAAATTCAAAGCAATAAACAGAAAGTATTAGGGCATGGGCACGGTACAACTTGAACTTTAGAAGATAAATTCTTCTTTTCAGATTTGCACACCCATACACTTCTCACTCACTCACTTACTGTTCTAGAGCAGACCAGACCATACATTTCTCCGATAAAGGACACTGAAAACTAGCTTGTTGTATTAAATGTTAGTATTAAAAAGAAAACTACTCAAAACCCAACAAATTAAATTAACAAGCGCAAGAACTCACCAGGTCTCATATTGCAAAGTTAAAAGAAAACCCAGCGGAAATTCCAAACCAGAATGTAGAACAAATCAATAATATTGTTGGAAGTGGAACTCAAATACGATTCTTACATAATGCCCAGGCAAGGCATTACGAGAGAGAGAAAGAGAAAGGGAGAGAGAGAGAGAGATGTAATGGAGGGAATGAGTGACTGTAATGAAGACCCAACCCAACCCAACCCAACCCGACTCAAGGAAACGAAAAAGAAGGGGAATCGAATACTTAGAATGATGATGCCGATGGTGCCTCCCACAAGTTTCAATTCAATGGAATGAATTATTATTATTATTATTATTAAGTTGGTAGTAGGGTGTGTGGGTGACTGTGTGGTGGTGCTGCTTTGCCTTTGCCATTGCATATTCCTTTTTCTCATGCTTGCTCGCCCTTTTTGTCCGCTTTCTTTCTTTCTTTGTGTTGCTCTAATAAACAAATAAATAATTATTTAGCATTCAATAAAAGAATTCCTGCTTCATGTGAACTGTAGTCAGACAGACACTAGTCATATATAAACAATAAATAAATGTAGTCTCAGTAGTAATTCCCACCCCTCCTGCAAATTCCAGAAAACAGATAAATAAATTAATAGTAAATTAATCGATTATACGTTGTGGGTTAAGAGTTACTATTTATTACATGGGATGGGAAAAATCTCTTCTCTGATCTGCTCTGGGTTGCATGGATCATCATGATCGATCACATTCTATTCTAATTCTAAAGCTAATAGTAGTTAGTTTTCTTTCTATATTGACTCAGAATCAAAATCGAAACAATATGCAGATGGTTTCTACAAATAGGTAGTATATATATAATAATATCCAACATTCCTCTCCTCGTATTTTCACACCTCCTGTTCTAAATTGTGGTTTGTGTTCCATATTTTCTCCAACTACTTAGAATTATTTATTAATGAGACAAAATTAATTAACAGTATTTAATATGAAAATTTTAAATTTAAATTAAATTATTTTCGAAATATATCAATAGGCTATAGAAATTTCACATGAGAAACACAAATTAATGATATATTTGTCGTTGAGTTGGGCTGGGTTAGTGGCCTTAATTGGGCTTAAAGGATAAATAATGTGATATCATTGTTTAACAGATTAATAAGGAAAATAGGAAATTAATTTTAGTTATTCAATATTGCTTGTTAAAACATAATTTGGTATGTTTGTATAAAATTTATTTAGATAATACAAATACAAGTCATAATTAGTTGTAAGCGTTGGACGTAGCCACACACATGTGCATCATCTGTACACACGAGTACTGAGCTAGAAAGCTTTGGTAAAAGTTGGCCACACGTGTGTACCATTCGTCCAGAGCGAACACGAGTCCAGATCTAGATTGCGTTGAGAGTGTTGTAAAAATTTGACTTTGTAAGATCATTTTTAATCGGAAGCCCAACCCAATTATTATCTTCTATGTTTCTAGACAAACCCAAGAGTCGAATGGTAAATATGAGCCCAAATGAAACCATAGAATGTGGTCCATGCAACATAGACAAAGTTTAACTCTATGGGTTTAGTTTGAATTATTCGCATTACATTTACATTGAAACAATTACGAGAATAGACACTGGTCGAGAGTCTTGTACCTTGGTAAATGCTTGAATTGGTGAGGCTAGTTATGATCCCAAATCCAATCCAATCATTACTTTTTATATTTCAAGACAAGACTAATGGTTCAAGGACGAAGATGAGGCCAAAAGAAATCATACATTGTAGCCCATGCAATTATGACAGTCATAACCCATAATTACGACATTGATGAACAATAGCTATTACAGCTCGAGCAACGGAGTGTTCAGATTTGACATTCCATTGGAAAGATGAACAGGATGCTTCATGGTATTCTGCATCGTGGTGACAATGTTGAGGATGAACATGTTGATGGAGACGATGGACACGGTGACGGCGGAGATTATAACTCTGGTTAATGTTAACCAAAGGGGAGATAAATAAGAAGAAGATGTTGGAGTGTTTGTCGAAGTTGAAGGCTTTGTGGCATGAGATGATGAAGTTTCTGTGACATTGCCGCAACAATGTTTTTTTTGGCATGAAAGTGGTTGTGTTCTTTTTGTTTTTGAATGATCATGTATGTGGGTTGAACTATCATAAACTAACTTTGTTGTTTTTATGTTTGTGCATGCATTTTTCGGTTGTTGACTTGAGGGGAGTTTAATTTGTATTAGCCTAGGCGTACTTTATGATGGCGCATCTCCTCTGGCCGGTCAACATCAACTAAAAAGGGAGAGATTGTTAATAGTTAAAATGATTTTTAGTTTTGGTTGATAATTGTCTACAGAAAGGTCGATCAATCAGCAAAATTCAGTGGCGTACAGAAATCCAATTGAGCTTGGGCTTGATGCTTTAAATGTGGCCCAATATGAAGATATCCAGTTGATGTTACTAGAAAGAAAAGAAAAGAAGGCTAGTCCCCATTATACAATCGATCATGGAGGGATGGCATGTGAGGTTGTTGATCATAATGGTGTGAAAATGGTACCGAGTATACGTGCTCTAGGAAGGAAGAAAACATGGCTTAGTGAGTGATACAGTGTGTGTGATGTAAGGCAAAAAGAAATCTGAGAGTTGGGATTTTTGTGATTTGTGTGTGCTAAACATTGATAGTGTATCAATGTAAGTATGAACTATTCATGTTGGTCATTGATGTAGGTCAGTGTGTTTACATTGTTTGATCTGGTTACAAACTCTCTCTCTTAATCGAGTTCATATTGGGGTGTCGAGGTTCTATCCTTATTGTTTGCTGGATTTGGTTAGTGGGACCAACAATGACTAATGACAATTACCACAATTATGAATAGTAAAAATTCATGTAATATCATAAATCCCACGTATAGGGTTGTTCTTGAATTTTGATGAGCCCAGTAAAAAAAAAGCCTAGTAAAAAAAAAAGCCCTTATGTAATTATTTTATATATAAATAATTTATTATTATTTTATATATACATAATTTTAAAATAATAAATTTTAAGGTAATATTGTTTAATTAATTAATAATAATAAGAAATGATTTTATTTTTTATTTTTTTTATAATTAATAATCTTGATAGTTTTAAAATAAATTTAATATATATGATTAAAAAATTAGAATATATATTAAATATTTTAAATATTATATCGCAATAAAAATATATATAATATAAATATGATTTTGTAGATAATAAAATTTCTATAATACAAGTAAATAAAAAAATATATTTATATATTTATTTCTAATTAATATAAATTAATTTTATAAAAGATGGTGTGTTCTTTTTGGTTTTTCTACAAGTTTTTCCAAAAAAATTAATACATTACATATATTCATTATTTTTTATTATCTACACAACTTTCTATACGTCACATAAAAATATTCGTTCAAATTATTTCACAAAACAAACACATGTGTAGTTTTAAATATAGATAAAAATATTTATATGTTAGGAGATATATAGAAATAAAAGGATTTTGAGTGAGTGTTATGTGTAGGAACACGCCGGTGAGGGCTGTTCATTCCCACGGATCGTTGTTGGATGCCAACGCGTACATACATGGTATTAAACGATCCTAAGCATGCTCCTATAAGAATGAACTAGAGATGTACCCTTTTTGGAACCACCAACAGCAATCACGAACAGGTTGATTCCGCTAGAGACCTTCCAGACTGTTCCCGAACCCCACTCGAACACCGGATGGGCGGCGATCTATCAAACGGAGGGAGACGAATTTTGCTCTTCGTGAAACCCTAGAGCTGACGGCTTGCACCTGTGGTTTTCGCCTCTTTTTAAAAAAAACGTCACTAGGGTTTGACAAAGACCGCATATTAATAAGTCTCCCAACAGGTAATTGGGCCAGACCGGGGATCTTTAGAAGGTGTTGGGCTCGGGCTCCCTTATAGATCCAAATCTCTATATTCAGCCCTGAATATAATTCGAATCATAAAATATTAATTCATTCCATTAAAGAATTAATATTGCACTCCCAGCCCAACTCAAATTGAATCTGGGCTTCTATTAAACTTAATTAATTCCCCATGTTTAAGATGTTCCACATCCATTAATTAATTAAATCTTCTGACAATTTAATTAATTAATATCTTTTAATTCCTTAAGTAATACCACTCAAAACTTATTATTGTACGGATTAAATCCACCTGCAGGGTTTATACAATAATCCTTATTGAGTTCCTTAAGGGGATGTCATCAACCTGGATGTTCAGGACATGGTGCCTTAATGATAATAAATTAATTACTATGCGAATAATGTAGTTGCCCAAAATACGAAGCATATTGAATCACTAAGGATTCTCACTTATGGTAAATTAAAGCAACGAACATTTATTCCATATATTTAATTTATTTCATCTAAGGTTAAGAATTAACAGAGTTACCGAGATCTTGGTTCTTCAATGTCAGAATAGAAGAACATATCTCAACTGTGATCCTTTCAATGTGACGCAGCACATTAGTGTAAACTAATAGTCAAGACAAACTAATTCCAAGTTTACACTACAACTTAAACCGATGGTTTTGTCCATAACCATCTCAGTTGTGAAACCCATTTATATTTAATAAAGAACTGACAACAAGATCTTCTGTGTGATCTCCACACACCATGTTGTCTACAATATTAAATAAGTGGACATGCTAATATATATAAAACATAAATAAAAGCAACACAATGTGAAATAACAATTTATTTATTCCAGTTAATAAGGAAATTGAATAATACAAAAGCGTACTAAAAGTTTGCTTTACAGTATAATCCAACAATCTCCCACTTATACTAAAGCTAAACTTTTAGTATACAATGCAAAAACATGCTCTCCCACTTATATTAAAGTCTAGCTGCAATGTATCGTAAACCAAGGCCGTCTACGTGTTTCTCGAAAACCTTAATGGGTAAAGTCTTCGTGAAGGGATCTGCCAAGTTGTCCAACGATGCAATCTTAGTGACAGCTATGTCTCCTCGCTTTACGATGTCTCGTATGATGTGGTACTTCCTTTCTATGTGTTTACTTGCTTTATGAGCTCTAGGTTCTTTTGAGTTTGCCACTGCACCAGCGTTATCACAATAAATGATTACACGCTCAGGCAAACTCTCAGACACCCCTAAGTCATACAAGAAGCTCCTGAGCCATACAGCCTCTTTTGCTGCTTCAGAAGCAGCAACATACTCGGCTTCCATGGTAGAATCTGCGATGCATTTCT